ATTGACGAGTCGAAAAAAAACCCCTTATATTAACAAAGTTATAGCTAACATAACGGGGCGGGCCGGAGTGCGCATTGTCAAGCGATCAAGCGTATTGTTAAGTTTCAAGTGAAAGAGTCTCTTCCATTATAATAACTAGAAATACTTATTTTGTCCTACAACCGAAAGACTTCTATGTACCTTAGTACATGTGTAATATTGGTATACGAACAAAAGTTAGTCGAGAAATATAGTTAGTTTAGCTGGAAAATTCGTAGTGTTCAGTCCATTTCAATACGTAAAAATGCCGAATTATCTAAAAGGTAAGTGAAGTAATATTGCACAAAATAACACTAAAAAGACGTTATCAAGGCAATCAGTTTACTAATAAAGCAGGTGAAAAAATTGACGCCAGTACAAGTCATTATGAAAGTGCCAATGGCCAAGATCCTCTAGACATAGATTTAGCTCCATTACTTGGTAAAGAAATGAAACAGCATCTTTCACCATTTTATGAAGATTTGTCGAAAGATGATTTACTTGAACGATGCCTTGGTGATCATACGCAGAACGCAAATGAAAGTTTCGTGGACTAAGGGTAGTTGAAATTTTACCATATATTGCAGTTAGGATATTTAATGAAGGTTTTAGTTCAATATTAAGAATAATGAACCTTCTGAATTTGACTGTTGGTACTTATGCTAAAGCATATGCTGATAATACTGATGAGGCACGAATAACTTGACAGGATCATAGCAGCCTTTCACAAATATAAGATGCTGGTACAGCTCACAAACAACAACAACTTACAGATAATCAGCTTTTTGGAGATAAGGAAGGACTATTGTATGGACCTGGGATTGCAGATTAATCGGTAAGTAACTAAAACTGGTCATTTTCATTTACTAAATCTTTAAACGCGATTATCTCGAAACTGTATTTTTAAAAACGGCTCGCGTTGTAACTCAAAAAGTTATGCATCGATTTGTCTGAAATTTGGTGAGGCCTTTCTCTATATTATTATCGGAAGGATGAACCTAAATCTTTAGATCTTTCGCGTTGATAAAGTATTTTACGGGATCCAGAATGTCAAAAAAATAGCCACAAATTCAGATTTTTTTTTCAAAGGCTTGTTTTTCATTGAGTTTAATACTTTTTTTTAAGGTTTATCCTTTTGATTAATATGTTCTCAAAAGAAAACATTAAAACATTTTTTGTTCAGATCGATAGTTGATGAGTGAGAAATGGAGCAGTTTGGGACCTCGCGTCGGAGGCAGTCCACAAAAAGTTATACTAAGCCGCCATTTTGAAAAAAAAAATTTAAAAATATTTTTTTTGTACTATAAAAGGGTTAAGTAAAGTTGTGTTAATGTTTAAGAACAATAAAATAATTCCATCACGTTTAAAAATATTTTTAAAATATGACCTATTTTTATGCGTCTATATGGACAGGGGGGAACCCTTAATAAAATTGTTGAAAAAATAATGTACTCGTACAGAAATATGATAATATAATCAAAATGAAAATGATGAAAATAAATGAGTGGATTATATAACAAAATATCAAAAATGTTAAAAAATTAGAAAGTTTTGAAAAGTTTTAGGAAAAAGTTACTGAAAAAAATGAAAAAAATTATATGATTGAATATACACTATTATTTTTTCACTAAAAAAATATTTTATCAAAACAAGTGAATTTTAAATTTCTTTTCAGCCGAATAAACAAATTTTGTAAATCAAAATTTCTATAAATTATGTCTTTTTAAGTTTGTTATTTGAAACAGCCGAATAAAAAAATAATAAATGTTATTTGTTTCAAACAACAAATTTGAACAAAACATTATTTTTTTTAATTCTTTGTTCGAAGCTCTACAAAATATTTACAAATCGAAGACTCTACCATCTAATATATATATATTATATACAGAGCCGGTCCTGCCATGCATGCGATGCATGCAAAAAATGCGGGCGCAAGCCTTAGGGGGCGCCAAAACGAGTTTCGGAAATTAAATTTATAATATAACATTTATGTTTTCTTATATAAAATCTAGAATTATTTATTTAAAATCTAGAATACTTAATATTAATGAATTATAATAAATAATTTAACTTAACTAGGGATACGGAGTCACAATTTTATTTTGCAATGTGATATCATTAGAAACAATTAATCGATTAATAATTCTGCAAATTAGTAAATAACAGCTCTGTTTATTGCTTAATCTACTTATTCAATTTTTTCTTTGTTTGAAGTTACCGTGGAATCGAAAAAGAAATTATCTAGTATTCAATCCCATAAGCGCAAACCTGCGAAAGAATAAATTAATTGTTGGGCATTATTGACGAAGAATTGTGAGCTGATTTAGTTGAATCCGAACTTGTTAAAAAACATAAACAAATTATAAAAAATGGGGAGACTGTGCTTAGAAAATGACTTGTTTATTCCGAGAAATTGAATTGTAACTTTTGCTTTTGTTGCGAATGTTTCGCATCTGTTGAACTTTGAATGTTGAAAACATGAGTGGAACAAATATGAAAAATGGAAGCAAAATTTACTTTGGAACAAAAATCTTAAGGCTTGTTTTATACCTAGTGGTGCACATACTCTAAATTTAATAATTATTAACTATACAGAAATAATACATATCAAATATAAGTTTTTTTTTCAATATTGTTCAAGAAATGTGTAATTTCTTTGCATTTTTTACTGATTTTCTGAACAATACTTCTGAAATAGGTTAAAAATTTAACTTTAAAACAACAAGCTGATACTCTGAATATGACGGCTATAACGATATCAATAAGGAGAAATTTACGACGCAATTTTGGATATGGTAAATGATGAAAAATTAAATTAAATTAAAATTTAAAAAATCCAACATGAAATACGAGTGTTATGTTTGAAATATAAATGCTAGTTTTTTTAAATATTAATATTGCACATACGTTAAAAATAATTGAAAATCTAAAAATACTTGACTGTAATCAACCCCCGAATCCCCTCGATTTTCTAAATAAATTTAAAATCAATATATTTCATACGCTTTTAGATTATATCTAATTTTTTGTGCACTAAGTCCAAAATAATCAAAAAATAATTTATTTATTTCACTTAATATTTTTGTTAAATTGAAGTTATAGAATTTGATATCAAGTATGTATTATTTTGATATCAAGATCTTTATATCAAAATAATAAATACTATTTCTGAAATGCATTTCTTAAATTCTATAACTTTAATCTAACAAAAATATTAATTCTTATGCTATGGTAGTCGAACTTACATCCTTAACCAATTTACTACATATTGAATATTACTAAAATGTGAAATTATGACAGGGATTGTTTTATTTATTGATATCGATAATAACAAATAAATTTAAAATCAATATATTTTATACCCTTCTAGATTATATATAATTTTTTGTGTACTAAATCCAGAATAATTAAAAATTAATTTTTTAAAAATATGTAAATATTTATATAATTTTAATGATAAATTGTTAAAACGATGAAAATTAATAGGGGGGGGGGCGCTAGAAAAAAAGTTGCATGCGGGCGCTATGTACCCCAGGACCGGCCCTGTAAATTATATATATATATATATATATATATATAAACGATTATTCGGATTTTGATAATTCTTTTTAGAGTTTCGAAGATTTAATGGATGATGAAACTATAGAAATATTGTAGAAATTATAATTGCCAAAAAGCAACTAATATATCGTACGAGACTATGAAAGTTATAGACTAAATTATTGAAGCAATTATGTTGTGTGGTAAAGTTGATGTTCTTTTGCCGCAGATACTATATTATTTTTTCTGAATTTCTTATACTGCTTATGCTAAGACCATAAATGAATCAAATGAAAGGCAGGACATCAAATAGGATGTTAAGTATAGGACAGAATATTAAAAATTTGTAACTTTTGAATTGTAGACGTGGGTACAGGACAACGTCTGTCGGGTCATCTAGTATATATATATATATATATATATATATATATACACTCTACTGTTTTAAAGAAAAATAAAAATAAATTTTCAATTGTTGAGTATAAATTTTTGAAATACCTATACTTCGATTCTACTTCACGTAAAATAATATTATATTGCATTTTTTAGTACATTTGTTTGAAATAATTATAATTCGATTATTTTCAATATAAAATAATGATACATTGAAAGTATTGAGTATGTGGTTGTAAATTCTTAATATACTTCGATACTTTGTCACGTATGATAGTAATATAGTGAAATTGTTGAGTATAATTGTTTGAAATAATAATACATAGATTTTTTCACGTATAATAATAACATATTATAATTACTAAGTATTATTATTTGCAATAATTTTGCAATTATATCCCTAATATGTATTTTGTGTACACTGTATTTAAATTTTAGTTGTTGAACTATCGGCTGTTGATGAAGAACTGATGTTCAAAAATATTTTTTTGTTTTTAATAGCAATCAGAACCCTACGTCCTATGAGCTGTTGGGCTGAAACTTCTCCTTATTTCATATTTTTAGATGGTAACCCAATGGTTAATCCATCCATATTTGATGATTTTGTTATTAGAATTAATCTAATAGAGCTGACTTTTTTTTGTTGGTGCAGCAATGCCGGGCAAGGGCTATTTTCACTCGGAAACATATTGCTATCTATATTTCCAAGTGAAAATCGTTGTCACTGCTGCCTGACAACAGGCTGCTCGAAGTGGGTATCGAACCCGGGACCTTTGAAACAAGTCCCGTCGCTCTTAACCGCTTACCTACGGGCGAGCCCTATGTTCAAAAATATGAATGAAATCTTATTCATTTTCTGGAGACCATTTTGTCATAAATCGCTCGGTCGCCTGATCGCCTAGTGAATGTGAAACGCATTAGGTTGTTACCATAGTATGCGTGATATTATTATTTAATATGTTATAAAATAACATAAACAACACATTTTCATTAGCGTAAATAAAAAGCCCTAATAAACAAGCACAGTAATAGCAGATTGTGAAACTTACTCAGCATATGAACTGGGTTCTGGTGTTCTCGGAGCTGTTGGTGTCTCTTGACTTTTATGGCCATCATAATCAAAATATTTTGTGCTAAAAAAGATTTTTTATAAATTAGCATTTACTTTGTTATAATTATTTAATTTATTTATACGTGTAAAACTAAGTTCTAATGATAATTTAGAATATTATATCTCGTGTACCTAAAACATTGCAAACTAAAATGGTTATGCAAATTTATACAAAAATATAACATTATAATGTTAACCATAATCAAAATTAAGTTTACAAAGAGTATTTTCTTTGTACACTAAAAAAAGGAAGATATAAAAATATGTTTCATAATTATCTTGACAAATTCATGACAGATTCAATAGACTTCTTTAAACTGAGCACATACTGTAAAACATAATTAAATGGTCATATTGAACGTTAGCACAGAAATCCCACAGCTATTCTAATTTGTTTTCCTGGGCCTTGGATAAATTTACCTGTTATTTTATATGCTAAATTATTTCTATATATAAAAATGAATGTGTGTCTCTGGGTGTAATTGTTATGCATCCATAAACCATATATCCAAAGGCCGTGAAAATTTGGTAAGCTGTTACATTCACCCCCGGACAGGTTTTCGACATTTTGATTGAAATCAAGTGGTAAAGGTTGGCCACCCTGAAGAACTTGTATTTATTTTTTGGGTCAATTATTATTTTTTAAATTTTTTATGATGCGTATAAAAACATGCATAATACTAAATTTTCACCGTCTTACCACAAACCCCTATTTTGTAAGAATTATTATAGTTATTACATAATTTTTCATCTCGATTTCTGCCAGTGAACATTTTTCATGATTTCCGATTGAATTTTCGAGCTTATGAAAAAAAATAGTGGTGCATGGCTAGTGTTAGAACGATAGTATCGATACTGAGTAAGTATCGATACTTTGACTTCGATACTGAGTACTTTTGGAGTCGATTCTTCATGACGATTCTTTTGGCGGTATCGATACTTTGCGCCGATTCTACTCAAAAAGTATCGGCTATATTTTTTGACTCCACCAAAAGTTCGACCGCATTTTATGTACCCCACTCATTCTCCGCTCTTCATAGATAACGAACGAAACAAGCGATAAGTCGAGAGCGATATGGTTTTTGTTAAAGAAAATGTTTATGAATGCCCCTAGTTCGAAGCCAATGATTAACAATAAATGAAAGAATCAGAGTTTAAGATTAGTTACGTCGATAATATAATTTCTGTTACCTCCGATAACATATGTTTATCAACGATAATAAATTTTGTATATTGTATGCAAAAACCTTGTTATCTGCGAAATTGTCACGCAACCAACTTTGGTTAAATAATTTATTAAGACATTCGATTTCCGATTCTAATTTTTAAAGCCGATACTTTTGTTCTAAAATAAATACTACTTTATAATCACTAAGTATTTCCATTAAAATTATTATAATTCCGATTCTAATATTTAAAGCCGATACTTGTTTTTTCTAAAATAAATACTATTTTTATTTCCGCTAAGTATTTCCATTAAAATTATTATAATTCCGATTCTAATATTCAAAGCAGATACTTGTTTTTTCTAAAATAAATACTATTCTTATTTCCGCTAAGTATTTCCATTAAAATTATTATAATTCCGATTCTAATATTTAAAGACGATACTTGTTTTTTCTGAAATAAATACTATTTTTATTTCCGCTAAGTATTTTCATTAAAATTATTATAATTCCGATTTTAATATTTAAAGCCGATACTTGTTTTTTTCTAAAATAAATACTATTATATAATCGCTAAGTATTTCCATTAAAATTATTATAATTTCGATTCTTGAATGAGTATTTTTCTTTGTGATATAAATTAGCCGATACTAAATTCATAAATGAATACTTTTGTCACAAAACAATACTTTTTTTTTATTAATGAGTATGTTTCTTTATGAAATAAATTAGCCGATACTAAATTCGTGATAATGAATACTTTTGTCACAAAACAATACTATTTTTTAATTAATGAGTATTTTTCTTTATGATATTGTTAAGATTTTGCTTTAGCGAATGAGGTATTTATATAAAAAGAACTATCAACTTTCACAAAAATTTATTTCAAACAAACAATTATATTTAATATATGTTTAATGCGTTCAATTGTATGCCACAAAGGTTAGGTAGAGAATGCCGGATTTCACATCATCCTAGAGGCCCATGTCCGAGCCGGAAATATTGCCCATAGAGCTCATATATAGAGCGGAATCCTAAAAAGGTTGTAGTTCAGGTATTCCATAGAGTGATGGTAGAGTCCATGGGGGGCAAACTTCTAACAAATGTCAGTGATCGCTTGCATGATTCGCGCTTACGACGCTAGTTAGCGCAGATGTCGCGAGTATCCACTCCCGTCATGCGTAAGTCGAACGCTATGATGGATACGAGCAATTCCAAGCCCTCCCGTAAACCCCTTCCCTATACTGTTCCTGTAAATCCCGTAAGTCTCCATTACGTTCGTAGTTCGTTCTGATATAATTTTCGATTAGTTGGTGAAGTTTGAAGAATTTTCTTATAAAGTTACAAAAGTGCAGTGAGGGTGTTAAAAATGACTTGTCACGTTCCTGGTTGCTTAGGAAATAAGAAAACCGTGAGATTACATGGTTTTCCAACAAGGAATGACAAGGTATGTAAAATATAATATTGTGTTTCTTCAATACGTTATAAATTAAAATGCAAAATATTATAGATGTATGAGATTTGGATTAGGCGAGTGAATAATCCAAAATTGGATGATGTGGAGATTGAAAAAATGCGAATAAGTCGATTTGTTTGCGACAATCATTTTGCAGATTGTTGTAAAACACAGCCACAAAAGAAAAATATGACAAATCTTAAAGTTAACGCTTTGCCAACGTTAAATATGCCTGGTTAGTATTGCAAGGAATGTAATGTTATATAAGGTAAACGTACACTATTCCGGGATAGTACATTATTACGCGAGTTTTTCATTTTGATCGCAAAATAAGAAAACGGTCAATAAATAATAACTTTATTCAATAGCACATCAATTATAATTTGAACCCTAATAAAATAGTACGATTTTCGAATATAAATATTAGTTTTTAAAGCCGTAAAAAGCTTTTAAAAGCATCGGTCTTGACTCGATCGCCATTTCGTACTGGCTTGTTCGCGAGTTAGGTTATGTGACGGTTCCACTGCTTAAGGTTTTTATTTGATTCCGATAAGCTTAATCGGTTCAAATGTGTGAAATTTTTGATCAGTAATAATAAGAGATTAGTTCCATAGTTAAATCGAACATATATTTGTCAAGAAATTGTCAATTTCATGACTCCCGCAATTAGGTTCACACAACTGAACCAATGAACGTAATTCCGTGAGTATCCCGCAATTACGAGAAGTAGACTTGAAATAGTTTTATCTTTTATTTTCAACTGTTCTTAAATTCGGCGGTGTTTCTGGTTTTATTAAGTTTGTTAATGACTACAGAATACTGTAACGTAATTACGGTATATGTTTTTTTAAATGTTTAACCCTAATAATTGAGTTTGAAATGACTACTCTTTAGTAAAAAAGTACATGATCTTTTTCACTTATTTGCATTGTCCCAATATACCTAGAATATTGTAGTAATGAGAGAATCATTTATTTCTACCTTTTTATCTATGATCAATTATTTCTATTATATAAATTGAATAAAAATACCGTATAGCGCACGGTACTTATAGGGCGCGGATTCACTTGGGCGCTGGTATGTATGTATGTATGCAGATATCTAGGGACATTCCTGTAAACACGATAGTTTTAATCCGATTAAGCTTTTGGAATATAACCATTATATAACCTGCATATTATTAAAACGAACATACATCGTAAGTTATTAGATTAATATGAACTGCAATTACTCGAAAATAAGTTGCGAGGCCACTCTTCAATGCAGTAACTTTCTAATAGTCTAATACAATTTATTAAATATTATTTAAATTATATTCAATATCAGTAAATTTATTTGGGTATGATTTTAAATCGGTCTTTCAGTTTTTCAAAGAACGATGGCTCCAATTAAATATTCATCCAAAACCCTGAAAAAGGCTTTAAAAGAAATTTGCCATATTACATTAAATGTATTTTAAACCTTCTAAAACATACAAAATTTCCAATCAAACCTAATTTAAGCTAGTAGTTATTGTTAACTTGAAAGTCTTTAAATATTATTTTAAAGTCTTTAAAGATTTACGTTTGTAGACAGAATTGCAACTTTTATTTCAAGTTTATTTTTTTTATTTTGAGTTTAAATTTTATATTTATTTTAAGTTTATATTTTAGTTTAATTACCGTTAAAAATTATTTCTTTATTGTTTCATTTTTTTGATTTACCGAAACAGTATTGATAATGATTATTATACTGCTATTACTATAATAATACCAGCTTTTATTTTATTTTTATTTCATAAGCTTTTAAACTTCTTATAATTTTATGACTTTTATAAAACTAAATAAATGTTTAAAATCATATCAAAGTATTATTTCATAATTAACCGTACTTTTTATAACCCTTCAACTATATTTATCAAGGCAATACGATCAAAAATGTATGCTTCGAGCGCTATCACGGAATAACGTACAACGACTCCCGGCATTATATTCACGAGCCGATTTTTGTCACGGAATTAGGGACAAACGCGTGGTTCAGCAAAATGCCGATTATTTCTATAAATGACGTTCTACGACGAAAAATCTTGTTTTATAATAATCTTAAAAGTCTAATTAATAAAATATAACAGATTCAGTTCGTCCACTTTCCTATTTTCTCTAAAATTCATCTTTAAAGTCAAACGTTCCTTAACATCCCGTAATATGGTACGTTTACCTTAATATGCAAATGTATATATTTTGTTAACAATTTGTCAGCTATTATTGTCTATTATTCAGGATTTCATGGAAACCCATACGACGAAGAAAATTGCCTTTTGGATAGAGCAACGTTTCGTAAGTATTTTCAATAAACAAAACAAAGTTCAATATACAGTAAAATCATATATTTTTCATAATTTTTAGAGCTTGGTATTAATAT